CACTCTGTAGACCAGGCTGGCCTTGAACTCAGAGATCCGACTGCCTCTGTCTCCCAGAGGCTGAAACTAAAGGCGTGTGAAACCACTGACAAGTTCAACATTCCTTTTCTTATTGTTCAAGAAGTTTACGTGTTCACCATTTTCTCAAGTGTTTACGAAGTAAGGAGTCTAAGATTTGTTTTTGAAAATAATTCTAGCTGGGAGTGGTGGCAAGCCCCTGTAATCCTGTAGCACTAAGTAGGAGGATTTTAAATTTGAAGCCAGCCTCGGCTACTAAAAAGTTTCTGATTGTATTTCTCAAGCACTCCGTGGAGTTTCTGGAAACCTTGGAGCATTGCTGTGCAGTCTCTGAAGATCCAGCTCCTCTTGATACCAATACAGATCACATATCAGGAAGCTGGGCTATTACGCATTTGCCTATTTGTTGCAGATGACCCTATAAATATATCAAACAGAGTTAAAGTTTCATTGAGGTCACAGCTACTAAAATAAGAATGCAGGTTTTAGCTGGGGTGGTGGTGTACGCCTTTAATCCCAGCACTCCAGAGGCAGAAAGATTTCTGTAAATTTCAGGCCAGCCAAAACTACTTAGTAAGACCCTGTGTCAAAAAAATAAAACAAATAAGCAAGAAAAAAAAAAAGAATACAGATTTCAGATTTTTTTCCTGCTGTGAAATCTACTAGTAGAGTATTTGCAGTCCGTGGATTATATTTTAAAAAATAATTTAACTTGAAAAACATCTCCTAATATTAACACTTTTACTTTAATTGTTCATTGAAGGAAATCTTCTTGTGCATTGTGAGCCAGAAAGCCGGAAAGTGCATTGTGAGCCAGAAAGTGAGCCAATGCTGGTGATTAGAAGTTTCAAGTCCACTTCTCTCCCAAAGATTAGAAGAAGAGCATCTTTATTTTTTTTTAAAGATTTTATTTATTATGTATACAACATTCTGCTTCCATGTATATCTGCACACCAGAAGAGGGCACCAGATCTCATAACGGATGGTTGTGGCTCACCATGTGGTTGCTGGGAGGAATTGAACTCAGGACCTCTGTGCTGAACAGTCGGTGCTCTTAACCTCTGAGCCATCTCTCCAGCCCAGAAGAGCATCTTTAAATCTCTGATTGGAGGGGGGGGGGTCAGTGTGCAGACCTTCATCAGTCTGGCAGGTCTGAGTAAATAACTTTTCAGCTGCAAATTAATGTTATTTTCTCCTGTCTTGTGCTGAGTCCACCTCCTTGCTCGCGTTCTATGTGACCAAGCCCTCATCCTTGACCCGGTGGGAGTTTGGAGGGGGAGATCAACCTGCACCCTCCTCTGCTCCTCAGGGCGTCTGACCTCGCTTGGCTTTCCTTCCGCTGTCTTTGGGCACCGGTTATATTACGAACAGATGCTCGGTTCTAAGGGAGTCCTCGGAGGTCTCAGCCAATACACATTGCGTCATCGCAACACAGAGGAGAGGATGTGTTAGTTAAAACTGGGCACACGGGTCGCAGGTCGGGTTGCAGGCACAATGTGACCCGACAGAGCCCTGGGCTGGAGGTGTAGACGCTAAACTCGGGTAGACATAGACGTTCCCACTGTTCTGGGAAGCCCAAAGCGGAAGTATCACAAAAGGGCACTTCAGCTCTAAAGAAGAGTTTCCGAATGATTTTTTTGTTTTTCGAGACAGGGTTTCTCAGCGTTGCTTTGGAGGCTGTCCTGGAACTCAGTTTGTAGGCCTGGCTGTTCTCGAACTTACAGAGTCGCCTGCCTCTGCCGGGGTGGTGGGATTAAAGGCCTGCGCCCACACCACCCCCGCCCCGAA